CCTCCAGCCTCACGGCAACATGCAAGCCACCACGGTATGACAAAGTGACAGATGAGTAGTTCTAAATAAATCTAGTGGGATTGCAAAACTGACTGACCCCCTCTCAGTGTTCTGTGCCTCTTATTTGCATTCTTAGCAGGCTGTTCAATCCCTGTCCTGGGTTCTCAAGTAACTTATTTGCATAGATACACCTGATAATTTTGTGGAAATTACAAGACCATAGTGGGAAAGGTCATATAAAAGTGGTTCATCATGTGGCAGAAAGACTTGCCTGTGACTACAGGGCTCTTTGCTACTTTGAGGAAAGGGCAGTGATGAGGGCTACATCCAGCATCCAAACACTGCCTGTGAGAGCCAAGGATTATGCATTCTTGTAGGTGCTTCTTCCCATGTCAAACCAAGGTTTCAATGGAACCCTGGAATTGCATAGGCTAGTCAAGGGGCCTTGATGGCACAAGGATTAAGTGCTCAGCTGCTAACCTGATTGTTGGCAACTCAAACTCTCTGAGCAGGTACCTTGGGCAAAGCTTGGCAATCTGCTTCCAGAAAGATGACACCCAGAAAACTCCATTGGGCGGTTCTGCTCCATTATATGGAGTGGGCCTGAGCTGGAATCGACTTGAGGGCATCCAACAACAACAAATCGAGAAACAGAGACGCAGGAACGATAGGAACCCTTGAATATTGCCAAAGAGAAAGAAGGGCCCAAGTTACCTCAGGTTTTTTTTTTTTTTTTTTTTTAATTGTGATTTGAGTAAAAGTTTACAGAGCAAATTCAATTTCCATAAAGTAGTTCACATACACTTTGTCTCATGACATTGAGTACAATTTACCACAATGCAACAGCTCCCCTCCCATTTCCTCCCCATGGTTACAACTCTCTTCCTGTGTCCTTCCCTCCATGCACTCCTACCCCCTGAGCTGTCTCCCTGTGCACACAGCCATTCTATTCTCCAACAATTGCTCTCTCCAAGGAGTGTATCTACTTAATGTAAATGTTCAGCTCATATGCCTGTTTTTTGTTTGGCTGGAAGTCACAGGTGTAGTTCAATTTCAGACCTGAAGGGCAGCTAGGGGCCATAGTCTTAGTGGTTTCATCAGGCTCTATCAGACCAGCAAACCTAGCCCCCCTTCCCCCCCCAAATGATTTTGAGTTTTGTTCCACATTGTTCTCCCACTCTATCCAGGATCTCCTACATACATCCCCTTCCAAGTGGTTGACATCATCTAGTTTTTCTGGTCTCATACCATTTTTGTAAACTGTTTGGATAGTATCTCCTAAAGCTGAGTAGATATAAACCCATGCCCCAACAATTCTATTATCATATATACCCAACAGAAATTCAATCACATGTCATGAAAACACATTCCACAATTTACATCCCAGCACTAACCATCACAGTCACAAAGCAAAACCTTTCACATGTGGAATGATTACATTTATGGTTTGATATTCACACAATGGAAATCTATCACTAGCAATGTATAATAATACTGATTAATTCACCAATAACATAAAAAATTTAATAAACCAAGTACAAAAGAGTCCTAGTCTGATTCCCTTTATATAAGGTATAAAGGAAGTGAAAGTGCTGATGGCAGTCAAGAGTTGTGTTTACCTTTAGACACTGTGACTGGGAATGGGCACAGGAGGCATCTAGTGCTCTGACAATATTCTGTTTCTTGATCTAGGAGCTGTATACACGTGTGCTCAGTTTGTGAAATTTTACTTGTGACTTGTGTACGTCTCTTTACATTTTTTTAGCAATACATATCAGGAAATAAGACTATAGGAAGGTAAGAGTTTATTAGTGCTAATGTCCTTATATGGCCAAGGTAAAGGTGAAAGGTATGCAATAACTTAGTTATGATTAGTTTTTTTAAGTTTGCTGAAATTTTTAGGTTAGAAATGAAGAAATACTGAATACATAGCATTCAAAGAAAAAAGGTGCAAGGTAAATTATTAAAATAAATAAACATGGCTGAAGTTAAGTTAGATATACTAAGAAACACAGCAGTATCATGAAGAGCACACATTCAGTTCATAAATCCTTCCCAATATATCCATTATTATATTAAACATAAAAAAATAATGACTCCTGATAGAATCAAATATTGTTTGACCATATTCAGTAGGATATCTTTTGAAGATATGTTGTTGGGTGCCATTTTGTTGGGCTCTGACTCACAGTGACCCTATGTACAACAGAATGAAACACTGACCAGTCGTGTGCTATCCTCACAATGCTTGGTGTACTTGAGCCCAGCGATGCAGCCACCATGTCAGTCCACCTCACTGAGGGTCTTCCCCTTTCTCACTGACCCTCCACTTTACCAAGCATATCCTTTTCCAGCGAATGGTCCCTTCTGACAACATGACCAAAGTAGGTGCTTGAATAATTTCTTTTAGAAAGATTAGCACAAGGGCAGTCTCTATGAGATGGAGGTTAAAGATGTCCCAAGTGCCCAACTTTTCCAAACTGCCATGCTTCTCCATTATCTTTGACATCAACTTCTCCTCCTCCCCTCAATCATCTCCCTCCTGTCTGAGGGCTCCTTAGTTTGCTGTAACGTCTCACTGAACTCACCAAGTCCCAAGGAAACAGCTCACGTGGTGGTGGTGGAGGCTGGGAAGCTGACGGGCTGAAAAGTCCTAGGTGTGTGGGCAGGTCTGGAGAATTCTCCCAACTTACATGGTTGCAGGGGAAGGTGAGCCCAAATTGGCAGGTCAGATGACGACTGCTGTCTCAAGTCCAGGGGTGAGATGATGAACCAAACACAGAACCAGAGCAAGAAAGCGAACCTTTCCAGAACATTCTTATATATAGACTCAAGGAAACTAAGGGTGGTGACTTGAGTCATGCGCTAGCAAGGCAGGACATCCTTGATACATACATGGGACATCAACATACATCCCATGCTAGACAGGCATAGAGACTAGGATTTACAATCCATCACAAACGGAAGGACAATGGCTAGAAGGGCCATATTAAGCAATTCACTGCACTGCAGTAGGTGAGACAAAGTCTGGCCATTCAGGCTTCCAAGGAGCACTCTGGCTGCTCTTCCTCCAGGACACATTGGTTTGTTCTTCTTGCAGTCCATGGTAGTTTCAGGATTCTTCTCCAACACCACAACTCAAAAGCATCAACTCTCCTTTGGTCTTCCTTACTCATTGTCTGGCTTTCACATGTATAGGAGGTGATTGAAAATACAATGACTTAGGTCAGGCACCCAGGAGGGAGCTCTGGTAGCATAATGCCTGAGGCACTTGATTACTAACAAGATGGCTGGTAGTTCAAATTTACCAGCCACCCCTCGGAAGAATTCCACAGCAATACCACCTCGGAAACCCAAGAAGGGGTCACTATGAGTCGGGGCTGACTAGATGGCACATAACAACAACAACAAGTCTTCAAAGTGATATTTTTGTTCTTTAACGCGTGGAAGAGGTCTTTTGCAGCAGATTTTCCCAGTGCAATACGATGTCTGATTTCTTGACTTGTGCTTCCAAAGGTGTTATTGTGGCTCCATGTGACATGAAATCTAACAACTTCACTCTTTTCTCCAAAGCTTTATACTGGTTGAAGATACAGAGCTGACATATTCAAAATCAAGTCGCTAAATAAAACATTACATTCCATGTAATTTTACTAATTAGTCAATTAACATCAAAGGGGAAATATCAGCTAAGTAGACTTCAAGATTAAAGTTTGTCCTTGTTATGATTAACATTATTTTACATTTTTCAGTGTCCAGTTTTCCAATATTATTGCTTGATTATAACAATCTCTTAATACACACCCACACATACTATACATGTTAAATGTACATGTATATGAACGTTGTTGTTGTTGTTATGTGCTGTCGAGTCGGACCTGACTCATAGCGACCCCTCCTTGGGTTTCCGAGGCGGTATCACTACGGAAGTAGATTGCCCCATCTTCCTTCTGAGGAGTGGCTGGTGTGTTTGAACCGCCAGCCTTCTGGTTAGTAGTCCAGTGCCTTAGGCACTATGCTACCAGAGCGTGTGTATGAATAATAGCTGACAAAAAGTGAAGAGAACTTGTATCCCCTCTTTCCCATTCCATCAAAGCTCAAGTGGCACTTTCACTCTCTGACTGATTTCCTGGAGTCAGGTCTCCACAAGTTAGGACTCAGTGCTTCCTGCTCCTGCCAAATAGACAAAAAGCAGCCTCTCTGCTGGTTTTCATGGCACCTAGTGGGCTTGATGAACCGCCAGAATGAGTCACAGAACTAACTCATGGAAATTATTTCCAATACTTACAGTTGCCTTTTTATTACAACCAGAAAAGATTCAAGCATAGAGATGCATCAGGGAAGGTCTGAGAGAGGTCCAGGCATGTGGCCTCCATTAATTATAGGGACATGGTGCTCCTTCTCCTGAGTATGGATGTTCTCACCCACCCCGGTGTCCCCAAAGAGAGCAATGCAACATCCTGGATACCTTAGCCATTGGGATATTAATGAATATGCACGATTTGGACCCTCATGCATAGTTATGATCCACCTAACCAATGGATATGCATGACAGCATTGGGTTCCCATCCCTTTCTGAAGCCACTTCTCCAGGCTTAGGGCCTGTATACCCCCTACTTGCCTGGCTACTTTGAAAAACCAAAAAAATCAAATCCACTGCCACCGTTTTGATTCCAACCCACAGCAATCCTATAGGACAGAGTAGTATTGCCCTATAGGGTTTAAAAGATCTTTATGGCAGTAGGCTGCTTCATTTCTCTCCAGTGGAACAGCTGGTCTATACAAACCACAAACTTTTTGGTTAGGAGTCACATGCTTTAAACACTGCACCACTGACTTGTCTTGATTGTTCAGGTAATTTTCCAAAACCAGAGTGGACTCTGTGGGCCAAATCAAGTCCTTGGTCCCACTCTCTAAGCATAGGACTTATGCTTATATTATGTGTAAGATTCTGGGAAGGATGAGTGAGTAAACAACTGAACACTGCAAAAACATACAACTTACATTGTCCTCACAAGCGCAGGGCATCTTGTCTTCCTTATCCAGGCACAGCAGAGCATGAACGCACTGGAGTCTTGAGTCATGAGAAGAAAGGGGCTCACCGTTGGGAAACCCCCAGTGATCAGGGCAGCGATGTTCACGAGCATCCAACCTGGATCGTCCAAAACAGCTAAGAAACTCTGGAAGATACAGGACAGAGTGTAAAACGACACAAAGGTGCTCATTAGGAGAAGGATGGTTACCGTAGCTCTGGTCTCAGGAGAGGATCTATAGGAGAAGTTGTTCCTATGAATATGTTGGACCCGCTGTTTGTGTCTGTACAGGATGAGAATCATGGAGCTGCTGGCCCACATCATGAGTCCCAAACACACAACATCAGGGAATACTAACAATGCCGCATTCAGTGACGACGTGATTTCATCATGAAGCACAGAAGAACAGTATCCATAAACTCTTCCCACTGTGATGTTTTTGTTCCTCCGGTTGCTGGTCATATTCCTAAGAAACATGATGTTTACCAGCATGTAGAGGACCCAGCACAGGACTATGGAGAAGCCTATGTACTTGGGAGCCTTCAGCTTCAGCTCGGCCCACCTGGAGCTCCTGGGCCCGATGGTGACGGCCTGGAAGACACTCAAGAGGCAGGTGCTGCCGATGGACACACCCCTGGCCACTCTGTGAACATAGAAAAGAAGTTTGCATCCAGAATCATCGAGGAAATCTTTCCATCCAAAAGCCGCTATTGTCTGGGGGATTCCTTTGGAGAGAATCACCAAGGAATTGGCAGTTACCAGATGCCTGAGAATCAAGTCTGTGGATTTTAACCTGCGTCCAGTGAAGTAGAAGAAGGTATAGTGGTAAAGAAGATAGAAATTTCCCAGGATCCCAACGACAGTCTGTGATAAGAAGATCATTGCTAATGTGAAATCCCTGGAGGACATTGTCTCAGTTCCCTGTGACTGATATTTGTCTTCAAAGCAGGAAGTTCCTATAGAGAAGATGAGGCATGAGCCATGTGCATGATGTCCAGTGAAATCCAGTATTATCACTTACTATTGCTCCTGCCTTAGAAATATATATTTCATGTTTTTCTTTTCTTAAAAGGTTGAGTGTATAATCATTGATGAGTATTAATTGTGTGTAAATCAGTTACAAATGTCATACATGTGGTAAGTTTTGTCCTTCCCAAATCTAAGAACCATTCACGACTATGACTTTCATTAGAAAGATGAAGCAAAATTCAGCACCAAGAGATTAAGAGATTTGTCTAAATTCACAGGATGGTTAGGGCTGGGAAGGGAGTTGAAAGTGGTTTGCCTGGTAACAAACACAATGCACTTACCCAGCTTGCTGCTCTGTTGTGGTGGTTAGTTGCCATTGAGTTGATTCACACTCATGGTGACACCATAAGCAGAACTGCTTCACTGGTTGTCCAGGTTTTATTATAACCAGAAAAGATTCAAGCATAGCGATGCATTAGGGAAGGTCTGAGAGAGGTCCAGGCACATAGCCTCCATTAATCACAGAGAAGTTGTGCTCCTTCTCCCATGTATGGATGTTCTCACCCACCCTGGTATCCCCAAAGAGAGCAATGCAAAGTCCTGGATCCCTTAGTCCTTTCAGGAGCATCAGGCCTCTCTTTCAAAGCACCTCTAGGTGGGTTCGACCCACCCACATTCTGGCTAGTAGTCAGTGCGTCAACATGCACGCCCCAGGGAGTCAGTTCTGCTTACTTATGTCCTTCTAATAATCCAGATCTACATTTAGTCTTGCTTTTACACCTTCTCCTTTTATTTTAGATAGTGGTATTACACGATTTTTTTT